GTAAAAGTATTCATTTGACATTTTGGGTTACCTACAATGCGAAGAAATTGCGCTACCTTGCAGCTTAAGAATGGCTAGAAGAATTTCGACGCGGCCGTCAGGGCCACGGTAGCATAATTGGACAGTGCATTCGCCCAAATTGCGAAGGGTGCGGGTTCGAGTACCGTCTGCTGCCTGGTCCGCGTGGATTTTTTTCTAGTCATATTTTCTTTAAATCATATTAATGTTGAATTATCGATTTTATATTTTTTTTTTGTAACCTAAGTTTAAAGTTACATTATGCTGATTTTATTTTCATTATTTTCTTGTTAAATTTGACGTCGCGAACGAATGTACTGTTGGAATACTACTCTCCTTTCTACTTCGGTTCGGGTTCGAGCGGGTTCGAGTCCCGTCTGCTGACTGGACCGCGTGGATTTTTTCCAGTTATATTTTCTATAGAAATAATTTTATATTAAGAACAGAATTTACACACCATAACACTACCGTGTTTTACTGCAAACGATAAATTCTCTAATCCCGTATTGTGTATACTCATACGCTCATAAGTGTAAGTATAAATTTGAAGTATCCATAAAATGACCGTACTTATTCCAGAAACTTGATTATGGAGCATTCGATATAAAATATCAGCTCATTCAGATCAACAACATGCTCAGATCAGGCAGTGAGTTTACGACTTTAGGTAATAAATAATAAATAATAATAAATATTTCCAACACTCACACCAATTAGCCTAGCCCCAAAGTAAGCACTGCAAAGGCTTGTGTTATGGGATACTAGGGTAACGGATAGAATACATATATTGTACATATATAAGTATATATAAATGAAATACATATTAAACATAAATGGCTGGAGTACAAATGCTCGCATTCATCACACAAACATCTGCCCTACCGGGATTCGAACCCGGGACCTCTCGAGTCGGCGACGCCTTGAAACCCGGCGTATAAACCACTCGGCCACGGAGGTCGTCATAGGTAGTAGGTAGGTCTTAATGCCCGTTTTCTCCTCGGAAAGTTTAAAAAAACATTAAAGTATTTGACAAGTTTTAGAAAGCGATCGCACGTTATTGACTAACTAGCAAACCAGTGAACCAAATGTTCACCAAAAAAAAATAAAATAAATAAAGATGTGGTTTTTGGTTCTACTACACCAATGGTCAAGAGATGGCGCTGTAGTCTCCTGAATCGCGCTTTGGTTCCGTTGTTCCAGATTAATAAATACTTTTGATAGGCCTTCACAATGCAGTCGTTAGCACCCACTAAATAGCGATTCTATTTCTATTTTGTTGGTAGATTTTCTTAATGTGCAGTAAACACAAAAGTAACAGCATGTAGTTGGTCGCTAAAGCGACCAGCTTCATGCTGTTAATTTTTTGTGTTACAGTGATGCGCGCGCATCTTAAAATTTCACTCTCATCATTTTTTCATAACGCGTCTAAAGAAGTATAACTTCAAAAATGTATTTAATTAATTGAGAACTTCGGAGATTTTGTGTGGTTTCGTTTGACATAGAAATCACGTGATTTCTCGAAAACCGGAAGTGCTACGTTACTCACATCCGGTTTGTAGTCTTATCAGACTATTCTTAACTTATAACTTAAACATTCTCTATATCTATCTCTTACGGTTTGGCCGCTGAAACAGCACCACGGACGGACGGACGGACTTGTCTATTAGATAAGAGATGTTTATGGAGTCCGTAAAAATATTCATCATTCTGTTGTGTATTTCAGTAAAAATAACCAAATCAAAAACTCAATACTCGATACTCGAAAAAGATTTTTTACTACAGTTTTAAAGAAAGCTAAGCTTGAAACTATTTATTATAAAACGTTTAGAAAAAAGAAATTTACAAAATGTGATATTTAGTTTAGTTTAGTTTAGTTTAGGCCTGCAGCCACTGTATGTATTTTGATCTTAGAGCATCTCTAAAATGTTTATATACGATCGAATTATTGTTGAATTTTAATAATTAATTATGTTCTTGTTCGTAATTAACGAAACAAGTTTGTATAATCCACTCGAAAAGATGATAACCATAATAATTTATCTTATATAAAAAAATCTCGTGTCACAATGTTAGTTACCTTTCTGCGAAACGGCCTGACCGATTTTTATGAAATTTTATATGCATATTCCGTGGGTCTGAGAATAGGCTACTATCTATTTTTCATATCCTTAAGTGATAATGGTTGTCCACCTGTAACGTAGTGTTCTGAAACCTACAAAGCGCCTTCGCGCCAAAATTCAAACTATTGGGTATTGTAACGTAGTGTTCTCATATGGGTTAGGAGGAATGCTATCCCAGGAAATTGATAGAACACTACGTTACACACCCCTAAAATTGTTTGTACATTTTTGGAGTTTACTCCTTAAGAATCGATTTGCATATATAAGGGGCCCGGTATGAGAAAAATGTCAGGAGTAAAATCTATCGATGAATGACCTCGTTACGTTTTTGGTGCGCATCCTATGTCGCGCAACTTTGACAAACAAAGATGACGGATTGACAATAATAAAATTTTTAAAATCTGAACTGAATTTAGATATTATATATCATATATATATTTATCGAACTTAAGAAGTAAACTGCAGTCGTGCGTCGGAGCTGACACACACATTTTTTTTTATAATATACCACATTATAAAAAAAAATACATACAGCCCAAAATTTTCTCTTCTACCACCTGCCCCTATTTTTATGGCGGTACGTAGTTCGCTGGGTCAGCTAGTTATAATATAAAATCTCCACTCGCTTTGTTAATTACAGAACAATTAAAACAAAAAAAAACATTGGAAGCTGGTACCGAACATATATAATATTATAATCCAGGTGAGATCCCCACAATGTTCCCGACGCAGTATCTTAATCGGTTTCGCCTCACACAAATATTTATAATCGTGTTCCAGGCATTAATTAAAGTTAACGAACTCCATATGCAAAAGAGGGCGCGCTCTGTATCGTTTTTGGGTAAAGGCATCTATTATACGACTTTATAAGGAGGCTCCCGTGCTACAACAACGTCAGGGGTGGTTACAGTACGGATAATATTAATTCTTCTTTTAAAAAAAATGGGTGCGTGTACATAAGTAGGCGCGTGAGAAGTTATCCTTCTTTGGCATCGTTTAAAATTAGTTTTTAATTGCATGCAAATAATTAATTACAATAAATTAATAAAAAGTCTGGAAAAGGACACAGTCAATGAAGTTCAGTTTTAATTTGAAAATATAAATAAATAATCAAAATATTCAATTAAAATCGCTACTGAATATAATTTATTAGAACATCAGTGATTTGCACTTGTATGAAACTCAAACACGTATTCCGAATATACAAACTAGAAACATGTGGATAAATATTATAAATATGAATACCTATAACTGTTACTTTATTACAAAAAGTAAAGATGTGGTTTTTGGTTCTACTACACCAATGGTCAAGAGATGGCGCTGTAGTTTCCTGAATCGCGCTTTGGTTCCGTTGTTCCAGATTAATAAATACTTTTGATAGGCCTTCACAATGCAGTCGTTAGCACCCACTAAATAGAGATTCTATTTTGTTGGTAGATTTTCTTAATGTGCGGTAAACACAAAAGTAACAGCATGAAGTTGGTTAATTTTTTGAGTTACAGTGATGCGCGCGCATCTTAAAATTTCACTCTCATCATTTTTTCATACCGCGCCTAAAGAAGTATAACTTCAAAAAGAACAGTTCTGTCAAGATTTTAGGCAGGACTCGAACCAGCGTCTTTCGCAATCGCGTACAGACTGCCTTTTTTTTATACGCAGGCAAAAAATTCTGTTTACAGACGACGGCGCCTTTAAGAGGCACACCGCCGAACGAACCTCACACCTGGCACCCGGAAACCTTACAAGCCCCAGCAGTGGCTACCCACGGAGGACCCCTTAACTCTTACGGGCGCTTTACGGCATAATACACGCTAAAAAACCCTGCGAATACCCTCTAAGCTGCTTAGCGCGAAGCTGCGGGATCCCCGTTTAGGGATTCTTCCGCGTCTTACCGCTATGCTACCCCTGTGTGCTACTTTGAGCCTATAGGCCTACTTCAATTTTTAAGGGCCCTATCGAAAGGCTGGTCGTGTCCATTAGCTACGGTAGCACTTATTACACCGCCCTATCAATCGGACCCTAACTTAGTCTGAACGTAAAAGTCGCCTTGGTTGAACGTGCCACCCGTTGCATTCCGATCAAAAGTTTTAGTAAAAAAAACTTCTAGTAAAACTAAATCTTTCGGCACAAAATAAAATAATGTTTATATAAATATTTATTTAAATGCAACGGGTGCCATAACGACGACGTTCAACCGAGACGCTTTGGATAGGTTACAGCGGCGTGCGATCCGCATCATAGGCGATGAGGAGGTGACTAAACACCTCGAGCCTCTTCAATGAGGGCTATCGCGTCTGAAACCGCCGCTAGAGGCGCTTGTGTTGCGTGAGGTCTCCGAAATATCAAATGTTATAGCTTGTGGGTCGACTACGCGGTTTTTTTTCTAATTAAAATAATAGTTGTGAATATTTGCTAATAACTCAGACTTATTATGCAAATATAAGTTACGTGTCAATGAATGTCAGTTATTTAAAAGCGGAGCTAAGAAAAAAATTGTCCTTCTCTTTTCCGAACAAAACGGGACTGCGCAACACTGTGGCATGGGCGATTATGTTTACAATACCATTCTTTTGTATTAAAATATGATTTAAATGTAAACTTTGATATCACGAGCATGTTTACTAACTTTAAAAGCTACACTTCAGGACCTCGCTCAACAGTGGCGCCATCTGGTGAGACAAAAAACGATAGCCCTCATTACACCGTGACGTGCCTTTTTTTTTAATCATGGTTTGCCATGAATGTTAGTTACTGATTCGCCACTTTTTAACAAGAAAAGGAAAACAATACAACTCCGCCGTCTGTAGAGAGAGAAAAGAAAACGAGCGAAAACGGCGCTAGTCCGCGTCGCTTTGAAGCCGACTACGGTACCGTAGTCGGCTTCAAAGCGATGCGGACTAGCGCCGTTTTCGCTCGTTTTCTTTTCTCTCCGACTACGGTACTAGTCGGCTTCAAAGCGATGCGGACTAGCGCCGTTTTCGCTCGTTTTCTTTTCTCTCCGACTACGGTACTAGTCGGCTTCAAAGCGATGCGGACTAGCGCCGTTTTCGCTCGTTTTCTTTTCTCTCCGACTACGGTACTAGTCGGCTTCAAAGCGATGCGGACTAGCGCCGTTTTCGCTCGTTTTCTTTTCTCTCCGACTACGGTACTAGTCGGCTTCAAAGCGATGCGGACTAGCGCCGTTTTCGCTCGTTTTCTTTTCTCTCCGACTACGGTACTAGTCGGCTTCAAAGCGATGCGGACTAGCGCCGTTTTCGCTCGTTTTCTTTTCTCTCCGACTACGGTACTAGTCGGCTTCAAAGCGATGCGGACTAGCGCCGTTTTCGCTCGTTTTCTTTTCTCTCCGACTACGGTACTAGTCGGCTTCAAAGCGATGCGGACTAGCGCCGTTTTCGCTCGTTTTCTTTTCTCTCCGACTACGGTACTAGTCGGCTTCAAAGCGATGCGGACTAGCGCCGTTTTCGCTCGTTTTCTTTTCTCTCCGACTACGGTACTAGTCGGCTTCAAAGCGATGCGGACTAGCGCCGTTTTCGCTCGTTTTCTTTTCTCTCTCTACAGACGGCGGAGTTGTATTGTTTTCCTTTTCTTGTTAAAAAAAAAAGTGGCGAATCAGTAACTAACATTCATGGTTTGCCATGAAAAGATTTCATTCGAGAAAAGAAAACGTAGTCGGCTTCAAAGCGACGCGGACTAGCGCCGTTTCGCTCGCGCTACGTTGAAGCGTACAATTCTATCTCATTTGCTCGATTGAATATTTTATTACAAAAGTGTAATTATTTATAAACAGAAGTGTGCGTGAGTGAGAGTTGCTTATGTAGTTGAGTCGGATCATATTTTATTTAATGCTAGTATGAGCGTACCGTATATTCCCTTTTTGTTTTATTCTTAGTACGGACGTACTTAGTTTTCATAGAAACTTTGGCAATGCGATAGGACAACAGAGCTGTCAAAATTCGTACTTTGGCCTCTGAACCAGGTGCTCTACTCTCTTTCTCCGAAACGAAATTTCGACAACGAACGAATTTTAAACGAAATTTCGCCAATGGCTCTACTCTATTTCATCTTCGAACACGCACATAAAGTTCGGAATCACAGACAATTATCGTGAACGAATGGAATGAGTTATGTTTGTGAGTTCTTTTTGTCTACACTTTTTAGACAGGGTTTTTTACTTCAAAACAATATTACTTTATGACAAAAATTTTGATTACATTAAAACAATCTCTTTTGACAGTGTTAGCCGACCAATTTGTAGAGTTTATGCAATCGAATGTATGTTAACCTAAATTTGTCGTGTAACACTTTGAAGTATGTACAATACAATAATAAACAAAAATTTGATTTATTTGTAAATTTTGCATACTATAAAATGTTCCTCACGCTAAGCAGCCTTAATTAAAAATACTCTAGTTGTAATTTTAGGTTTAATTTAAACAAAAATCCCATAACGAAAATGAAAAGGTACTAACTTAACACTTTTCATTTCGTCAATTTGAGGTTAAAATTTCGAACAATTATCTGTCAAATTCAACTTTTAGTTCGAAAGTTTTAGAATTAGAGTAGGTCGTGGAGTAGGCTTGGAGAATTTAAATGTCAAACTATTTTCGGACGAACGAATTTTCGAAATGAAATAGAAACAGAGTAAGGAACGTGCGAAATTTCTTCGATAGTAGGCCTCCTGGCCTCAATTGTATTTGGCTTACAACCATCTCAACAACTACTAAATATAGCTAAGACTGCTTGTCTGACTAACTCTTCGCTTACTACACTTTTGTAATGAAAAATATTGAAACTCATCAAAAATGAAAGACACTTGTATAACAGAAGTATTTCCTACAAAAAACCGCAAAGAAATCAAATGTCAGAGCGTAAGTATAAAAAATACAATATATATTTTATGACGACAGCCCTGCATAAATGGAATGGCTTCAATTTACAACGAAAGTTAATTTCAAGGGAAACCAGAAGGGCTATAATGGATAAGCCCCTCCAATAACAATTGTACGGGGAGAGGTGTATTTAAATTAATTAATAAGGTAGGGTAGTCAAAGAAGGCTGCGGCGGCGAGCAGGTACACATACGTGCTTTTAATGATGTAGCGTCAACATAATACTGACGCATTCATGAGTCACGCTCATGTTTCTATATGACCTTTTTTTTTATACGCAGGCAAAAAATACTATTTACAGACGACGGCGCCTTTAAGAGGCACACCGCCGAACGGACCTCACACCTGGCTCCCGTAAGCCTTACGAGCCCCAGCAGTGGCTGCCCTGAGGACCCCGTTACCCATACGGGCGCTTTACGGCATAATATCCGCTAAAAAACCCTGCGAATACCCTCTAAGCTGCTTAATGCGAAGACGCGGGGTCCCCGTTAGGGATTCTACAACGACGGACCTATATGACCTGCCACATGATCTTCAAAACCGTCCAAATCACATTTCATGAATGAAGGCCCTGTTTATTTTTAGATGCATTTTATTTTTATCGTCTGTTGCCTTCACCAGTCGTCAGCATAAGTTATCTTAACAGTACGAGCCCTGATCTCGGTGAGACTCACCGCTAGGGTTGCTAGGTCGCCAAGCCAGTTTAGCCAGACATTTGGGTAAAAAGACCGGATACCCCCATCATCATCAGTCTTGTTCTTGCCTACACGTCGCTCTCGGTAGCTCATATAAAAAGCCTACCAACTGACACCGTTTATTTTACCCGGACACGCAATCAAAAAGCCTATGTCCGGACGCCTGGCAACGCTACTCACCGCATGTTATATATTTATGATCGAGGTATAACCTGGATCTAACATACTGACGGAAAATAAAAATAACGAAATTGAGTTATCTCATATTGAAGTTGAGTTATCTCATATTGAAGTCATTTTTCAAATTCACGACTCTGTGTATAATACAGGGAGAAAAAAACAGCCCTTGCTGAGTTTCTTGCCGGTTCTTCTCAGTACAAGGTCTCCCGCCGTAAATTTGCGAACCGATGGCGTAGCTTTTCGACATTCACAAGTGCTTGTAACAGCCTAGACTGAATAAACGATATTGAATTTTGAACGAATTGCCAGCTTATCTCCAAAACAGTTTCCGTAGTTTTATTAACGGTTGATAGGCTTCTGTTATCTGCAACGGAAAGTTAGCCGTTGGCCTATTCTAAGTTTTCTTTTCGCTCTTCGTCCAGCATGCGAGGATTCTAGATTGTTCTTCCCAATCCAGCATGGGAGAAGCTTGCAAATTAAATATATAGACTGGCATTTCTTAACAACGGAGTTTCAGAGGTACATAGTTAATTACTTAGGTAAAACACACACACATATACAATGGCTGGCGCGCATTGCACACATCTCGCTCTTGTTTGGTAGAGGGTTTTCTAAATTATTATGAAAATCCGTAATTGGCATTAAGATAAACTATATTGTAAAACCTGTATTATATTAAGAAAATGCTGTGGATTTTGGTCTAGAATTAAATAAATAAATTAAAAACAAACTAAACAGAAGGAAGAAGAAGAAAGAAGAAGGATGAAATAAATAAATTAAAAACAAACTAAACTTGAGGAGCTCGATGGCGCAGGTGGCTAGCGCGTTCGGCTGCGATCGTTGAAGTTAAGCAACTTTCGCAGTGGTCGGTCATTGGATGGGTGACCAAAAATTTACTATCTCGAGCTCCTCCGTGCTTCGGAAGGCACGTTAAGCCGTTGGTCCCGGCTGCATTTGCAGTCGTTAGCACCCACCAATCCGCACTGGGCCCGCGTGGTGGGTCATGGCCCAATCTCCCTATTCCATCCATAGGGAAGGCCTGTGCCCCAGCAGTGGGGACATTAATAGGCTGATGATGATGATGATGATGATGATGAAACTAAACAGTTCGTTTTAACGGTCAGCGAAGAGCCAGAACTCTTTGTTGTTTTAATCTAAGGCCAGAACCTAAATAAAGTAGTTTTAATTTTTAAGCATGTGTCTGCACGATGTTTAAATCCTAAAAAAATATTACTAGAAAAGAAAACCACCCGGACCAGGCAGCAGACGGGACTCAAAGCCCCACCCTTCGCTATCCGGGCGAATGCCAGCCATTATGCTACCGCGGCCCTGATGGCCGTGTCGAATTCTTTCTAGCCTTTCTTAAGCTGCAAGGCAGCGCCATCTCTTCGCATTGTAGATAACCCACAATGCCAAATGAAAAAAATATATCTTATACACAGTCACAATTTTAGTTACCATACTCCTCCGAAACGGCTTGACCGGTTTTTATGAAATTTTATATACATATTCAGTAGATCTGAGAATCGGCCACTATCTATTTTTTATACCCCTAAGTGATAAGGGTTGTCCCTAACATTTTTTAAAATATTTTGACATTTTTTTTTATAATGTGGCATTGAAAATACATACAACCCTAAAGGACATCGACGAAATCGGCCCTAGCATGCCCAAAAGAATGTCCTTCACTATTATTTTTCTATTATTTTTTTAACTTATTAGCAATTAATCATAGTAAACGGACAATCTGTTTAAAAAATAAAAGTTCTGTTACTAGATACTACAGTCTGTTCATCCAACTTGTCCTAATTGGTAAACAATCTTGGCACTCCTTTTTATTGAAAATACAGCATTAAAAATCACTGGTAACTAACTAGATTCAATAGGTTTTAGTCTATAGTAACGATTTATTTTAATAGTTTATTGACTTCGTTAATATTTTTTTTAAATAGGTGATTTTGTTAAACAGTTGTGCCAAGTTTGTTTACCATAATATATGCAATATAGGCGACCATAGGTATTTATCAACCTAAAAATAGAAATATAATAGGTATATCTTAGTTAATAATACTTATTACTAGTATTTATATTGGTTATAAAAAGATCATTTCTGAAATTATGTAAAGATTTATACTCCTATCCCATGTAATTAATATCTGTTTATTTTTATGAAAATCATAATGATAACCAGGTATATACCTAATTACCGATAGTAAAATATAAAACAGGTAAATGGAAAGACTTTGAACATTTCATTTGAAAAGAAATCTATTATTACTACAGGTAGCTGGCAACTGCCAACACTCATAAATCAATATGAATATAAGCATTTATTATTTTTATTATTAATTGCATTTTATGTTCATTTAATGCATATTATTTAAGTGCTTACATAGAGGTAAACACTAAATCTATTCAGAATATATAAAGTGTACATCTTTTACGATTAAGTATAATAATTATAACCTCAAAATCTAATACATTCTGTAGTAGGCCACGGTTCCTCAAGTTGTCCGTATCTCAATAAATGCCTAATCTTATGAATGATTCCGAACACAACTAGCATTTTCTCATTACTGGGCGTTCTAGGGCATTCAATGTATGGGGAACGAGCAATGTCCTTTTCACTCTTCTACCACCTTTTGAAGTTCGCTGGGTCAGCTAGTCTGTATATATAAAAATAAAACCCTTTTTCCGTTGTGACGACATAACATGAAAACGGCTTGACCGATTTGGCTGATTTTTTTTTGAAGTTATACTTCTTTAGGCGCGTTATGAAAAAATGATGAGAGTGAAATTTTAAGATGATCACTGTAACACAAAATTTTAACAGCATGAAGTTGGTCGCTTAGCTGTTCTTACGGAAAAAAATATAAAGAAAATCTCTCAGAAAGATTGAAAAATATAACGTAACGAATGTTATCTATATATATAAAAATGAAACCCTTTTTCCGTTGTCACGACATTACATGAAAACGGCTTGACCGATTTGGCTGATTTTTTTTTGTAGTTTTCTAATACTGTGTACAAGGTTCTTACGGAAAAAAATATAAAGAAAATCTCTCAGAAAGATTGAAAAATATAACGTAACGAATGTCAACGTCATTCAATTTAAAATAAAAAATCTGTGGTTATCTGTGACACCACATCGTTAACCGCGCTGACAAATGTCAACGTCATTCAATTTAAAACAAAAAAATCTGTGGTAATCTGTGACAACACATCCATAACCGCGCTAAAAATATAGGTACTCATACATAAGATAGGTCAGCTATACAAAATAAAGTAGTGCATCAAAGCTACGCTAAGGCGGTACGAAGTTCGCCGGGTCAGCTAGTTTAGTATAAAATATAGTTCGATCAAGGCTATTCGACGTGTAGGTGTTGTCGTAAGTATGTAAAGTGCGTTACCTCGAATTCCCGATGGAAATCCACTCAGGGAGAATTGGGAAAAAGGTTAATGAAAGGTAATAGCCAGGTGCTTTGCTAAGTATATAAAGAACAGAAATTCACGTGTAAGAAAACTCCTTCAATGTTCAGAAACTCCTTAATTCACCTTCTCGACTAGCAGTATGAACATTACCCCTAGCACGAACCATTATCGAATTCGAATCGTTTGCAAACCGAAATGTCAATGTCAAAATTTGTATGGAAACTTGAACAGCAGCGGCACAATGTACGTAACGACAACTAAAAATTAGTACACATCTGACAATGACATTTCGGACTCGCAAACGATACGAATTCGATATTGGTTCGTGCTAGGGGTACAGTATTCGCGAGTCCGAAATGTCATTGTCCAATCCACCCCGGCCGCAGCCGCGGGCGGCGTCTGTCTGTGAGACATTTAATATTGAATATATTTCGTCAATGTCGTTTCTTCAATCAAACCTTACACTCTTACTCCCATCCTTTAAACCTTTTATTTATTTTCTGTAACGTTTCCTTTCCTCTTCTCTTCTTTCGCCTCTCACTATTATTAACCCGTCCTCTCCTCTCTCTGTCTTTCCCACCCATTCGACCTCCCTGGCTGCATCTCGACGCGGCCTCGGATTCTGATGGGGCTACTCTACCAAATATCGAATCCTCTACATCACAATTATGTTATATTCATCACCTTAAAATGTAATAAATATGAGTGTTAAAAAAAAAACAGTACCCCTAGCATGAACCAATATCGAATTCGTATCGTTTGCGAGTCTGAAATCTCATTGTCAAATGTGTACTGACTTGTAGTTGTCGTTACGTACTTTGTGGCGCTGCTGTTCAAGTTTCTATACAAAATGAGACATTGACATTTCGCACTCGCAAACTATTCGAATTCGATAATGGTTCGTGCTAGGGGTACTGTACTTATTTTAACTTACTTATGCTTTTTACTACCAACGACCACCCGAAAGTTCGCTGCAACCAGAATGTCAACTCTCACAGATTCAGTCGGCCATATTTGTTCCGCGCAATTTGACATTTCCGGTTTTAATAAATTTTAATGCAATAATCGATAAGGTACTTTTTTTATAAAGATATGATTTGATAAATTATTTGAACAATATTATTATAAATATTCCTCCATAGGGAAGGCCTATGCCCCAGCAGTAGGGGCATTAATAGGCTGATGATGATAGTTAAACGCAGTAAGACATATTTATAAATTATTTTCTAAATAAAAAATATTCAATTTTAAACACTTTTAAACATTCGCGTTGCATTATAAATATAATATTTTACTTTAATATTCTACGAGCCAGAACGCGTACTTCGGGATACAGAAGTTACGAAAACCTTTATTTAATGCTCAGTTAGCCCGTAAAATATTATAACGATAATATTTATTTTCGTACTGAAAACTTTTTGGGTACTTATTGAGTGGGGTAAAAGCACTGAACTTGTGACTTTCACGTGTAGATAGATTACGCAAGTAAAATAGTTAAGTTAAAATTATTATTGTAAAACAGCGTAAAGAATAGGGAAAAATATTCATACTTTTTCATTTCTGACATGCAGTCGCAGAAACAAGTTTTTATTATCCATATTTCACGAGAGAAATAAAATGAACCGCCGCTCATCTACTGGTAGGTGCTTCCGCGCGAAGCTTTTACAGCCGGTACTATATTCTTCGCGAATGAAGAGAAAATCCCCCACACGTCTCGAGTTACAGGTGGCGAAATCAACTTTCATTGGTGAGGCCGTACGTATTCCGAAACAATCAATATCGGGCATTTATTTATCCGCACGGTAATCACGACCGCGCTAGGGCTGCCGCTTACTGTGCCATTTACCCTACCATAATTCTATATACTTTATATCAAATTTCAAAAAGAAAATTATTAAAAAAAATTAGTAATAGATTAATGCTTTAAAGCCGATGGACGTCCGCTGCCGGACACAGGCCTCTTGATGTATTTTCATACACAACGGTTCTGTCACGGTAATATTATCTATTCTATCTTCGTACAAACGGTCGGAAAGCGTGTTATACCTACGCCACTCGAGTTCGCGCGGCACCTGGTGGGCATCCAGTCGCGAATGCGCCGCAGCGACGACACTAGACGGGGAGGTACACTGGAGAGCTGCTAAACGGGTGCTCAGATATCTTAAGTCCACGAAGCATAAAAACCTTCTTTACACAAAAGGTAGCGACAACATAGTCGGCTACGCTGACGCCGACTATGGTTCTTATTTAATAGACCGCAGGTCATACACGGGGTATGTCTTTACTTCAAGTGGCTCTGCCGTATCCTGGGAGTCACGCAAACAACGCACAGTCGCACTCTCCACCACTGAAGCCGAATATATGGCCCTTGGTGAAGCCACTAAGGAGGCCATATATTTAAGGTTTCTGGTGCAAGATGTATTCAACCTAGACTACCCAATAACACTTTACAGCGACAATCAAAGTGCCATACAACTCACCAAAAACCATACTCATCACGCACTAAACATAATTGACATCCGGCATCATTTCATTCGAAACTCCATAGCCAGTCATAACATTATTATTAAATATATTTTCACTGGCAGTATGGTCGCCGATGTCCTTACTAAGGGCTTGCCTAACATAAAGCACGCGGAATGTGTAAATAGTTTAGGTTTAGCGTAGTAAATTGTATATAGCAGGGACATTAGTCCCTCCTTTAGTAGACACTAGTTTAATTTATTTTCGGATGTTAGTGTTAAGATGTGTAAATAGTGCGTTTGTTTTTCCTTTTTAATATGCGTTTGTGTTTTTGAGTTGTTCTTGTATATAGTATAGTTCATATTATTTTTTTATAACTTTTTAATATAAACACCCTGGCACCTTTTTAACGTGTTTTTAAATTTATATTTTTATACGTCAGTCTGTCTGTTTGACACTCCTTTCATTACTTACTTGTGTATGGCTATGGCTTGTGTGTATTTTATTTATAACTCTCATATATTAATATATATCTTGTAGCATATCCACTGTCTGTTTTCTTCTCTCATAAGTTATAATAGTACTCACAAAAGTACATACCTACTTACAAAATTAACTATGCTAAACTATTAATTTAATTTGCAGGCCATTTACCAAAGTATCACTTTATAAACATAATCTGGCTTATTAAAAAAAGCAGACTAAAGTTAAACCTAGTCTGAATGTGATACTTTCACCTTTGTTTGCTAAGACGAAGACAGAGACAACATAAGCACAATACATACAAGAGCAGTACTTTGACTTCAAACTTACGCCCGAATCGACGCACGCACACAGACAAACGTCATTTACACGGCCGCTAGCCAATCTTGGCAAGACAAAAAATCTACGCAGTACCACATCGCGCGTCGCCGAGACTGGTCGTTGGCCGAGTTAAGTTCCCGCGCCGGCTGCTTCGTTTCGATTCTGTAACGTGGCAATAGTACTCGGCACTAATATAAAATATTTTAAAATGGCGGCGTAAATTCTGTAGATACCAACCCTAGCGCTTCGCTCAGTCGTAGGTATCTATTTCAAGAAAATGGCTGAGTTACGCTACTGCTTTTGTATGTATTGTGACATAAGGGTTTACCTAGACAAGCCCTGAAACAAATCGTGGGTATACTCACGGGTCACGGCTACTTCAACAAACACCTTTATAATATAGGTATTTCTGACAGCCCTCTGTGCAGAGCCTGCTTGGAGGAGGAGGAGACGAGCGCCCATGTTCAGCTGGAGTGCAGAGGCGTTGCAAGACAAAGGACTTCTCTAATGGGAAGCCCGCGGACACTAGTAGAAGCCTGCACCAACATCCGGGGACTGCTGAGCTTTCTGGAGGAGCTGGGATGGCAGGACTGATGCCAATCCCCACGCAAAATAGGCACTGGGTGTCGAGTTGCGGAAACAGCCCACCGTTCTACTAAGACTAAGACATAAGGGTTTAAACCAAGACTAAGTTTAGTCTACGTTTTAAAATAAGGCCGAGTAAGTTTTCACGTGGCTGTTATTTAAAATTTCGCACATTCAATGCTTATTCATTATTCCGCTTTTCATTGCTCCATAAGAGCACGTAAATTTATATGCATCGAATCAATCTTGCCAACCCTACCAGACTTATTCCCCACACGCAACACACAATTCTAACAGAAAATACATTTCAATTCTTTATTGAATCCCTCGCAGCTCGCTCCGGTGCCGCCATAACTTCACTCTCAAGGGCTTATGTCGGCCAATCGTAGCGTATCGACGTCGACGCCTCTAACCCGGGTCCATGTTACGCTTTATTTATTATTACAATAACTGGCCACTACAAAGGTAGTGTGCAAAACCGGCCTTCCGTATTAAATGTTCGGAGTTCTATCGTCTGTACCACGGCGAGTGTTCTGAGGAGTTATTCTCTCTTATCCCACCTTCCCCTTTCCTTCAGAGGACCACGCGTGTTGGCCTACGTTGTCACCGTCTTACTGTGGCTACAATTCCAACGCGTACAATGAAATTTGGTGACTCATTTCTTTGTCGCACTATCCGTAAATGGAATGCTCTGCCCGCTCACGTGTTCCCTCCCTCTTACAACCTGGGATCCTTTAAAAGAGGCGTGAAGAAGCAACATGCAGGCCGGTAGGGTGAGGATGGCTGGTGTGGCAGGTAGAACTGCTGTTTCAGCTACCTTCGCTTCTGGACTTCACTTTCATTTAACATCAGGTGGGGTGGAGTCATTTGTCGGACCTATCTATAAAAAAAAGTTCGAATCTAATTGACATTGGGCCCGATCCTGGCATGATTTTCTAACGGCCAGTGTCAATATTTTTTGAAGTGAAAACTTCTTTAATGGCGTTGTACACTTTCTTTTTGTATGGGTAAAAAATGTTAAACTCGCGTCAGGTTAAACACGTGGGCTGATCGCATCATGACACGCAATAAAATTGGAAAGGTTGTCGACTTTCAATATATTGGACGAAACATTGTAATGTTTTATTTTACCGTATTATAATAATAAGTCTCTATCTAGGTCGTCCACGTGGCAGCTTTATTGCGAAGAAAATGCATTTTTTTACAATAGATGTCGCTAGGTGCGCTTAAATGTGATTCATGTAAGTTGATTTCTTTACAATAGATGTCGCTAAGTGCGCTTAAACGTGATTCATGTAAGTTGATTTTTCTGAGACATAAACTTTTTTAATGTAATATAAATTGTCATGTTTGTGTACGATAACGCAATAAATAAATATTGTATTCTACCACATACATGATAGTACTTTTACACTGATGATTGAAGCAATTCGTGCAAAATTATTCCCTAACCATTCTAAAATATCAAAAATGCACAACGTTAATATTCAAGTTTTCACTTCTGCCGGCACTCCCGGAGTGCAACCCGTCGTTTTTTTTTATAACACACACCAATTATCCTAGACCCAAAGTAAGCACTGTAAGGCTTGTGTGACGGATAGAATGATAGAATACATATAGTGTACATATATAAGAATATTTATATAGAAATACATATTAAACATCCATGACTGGAGTACAAATGCTCGTATTCATCACACAAACATCTGCCGCCAACGGGATTCGAACCCGGGACCTCTCGAGTCGGCGACACCATGAAACCGTGCAAACCACTCGGCCACGGAGGTCGTCACATAATCAAACTCTATATAGTAAAAGGTAAGGAAATTTGTTTCCGATCTCAAGACCGCTAGACCTTACTTATTTTCTGATGGCCAAAATATGGATAATTGAGTAGGATTAGTGTGTACGATAACGGTAGACTTTGCATGCCCATCTACAGAACAGCTCTCATGGGAAATAATATATTCTGTATGGCTCCTCGAATATATAATAAACTCCCAACATCTTTGAAAGATTTAAATTATAATCTGTTTAAACAAAAAATTAAGAAATTATTAATTGATAAATGTTATTATAATGTATCAGAATTTTTAATTGAGAAATTGTGATTTTATTTTGTTTTTATTCTTTTATATTTATAGTTATGGCAAATTTATTGACATTTGATGATTAAATTGACAGTATTAACATGTATTAATAGTTTTTGCCCAATATATTGATATTTGATTATTGATTTAAAAATATTGACATATTTTTTCAATAATATTTTTTTTTTTTACCTGGGAAAAATATTGCAGGGACTCTTGGATAGAATACTATCAAGCAAATTGTCTTAACTGTTACCATTCTGTGATATGATTTGAAATTAGTATTTTTCCAAGTATTTGCCCACTTTAATGACATTTTGTTATTGTATTATCATTTTGAGTTTTGTAGCATGCTAGTATGGACATTTTGTTGAGTTGCCCATTTTTATTGACTTTATTATTTAATGGCTTGTATTGACAAGTTATTTGTAGTTTTGGCCTATTTTATTGACATTTAATTATTGAATTGACAGTATTGACATTTTGATTTTTGTAATTTGAATCTTAGAATAATAATTATGAATGTAAATTATAATTAATTTGTATGCCGATATTGGCACAACATGTTATGTACTTAGCTAACCAGTGGCGGCGCTAGGCGTCGGCGAAGTCGGCTACCGCCGACGGCCTCGCGCCTGAGGGGGCCTCGCAAAAATTTTTACAAGTTACCTATTTATTTTCGTTTCTCGTGGCTTGGCTTAGGTAGCCGACCCGAACAATTCGGGGAAAAAGCTAAGCAGATGATAATGACTTTTATTATTTACGAACACGTGCGTAATGAAAGCGAGGAGTACTTTACGGGT